CTGCAGCGGCGGGACGGGGGGAGCGTCGTGCCAGAGACTCCCGCCTCGCCCTGTCTGCGCCCTGGGAGAGCCCCGCCGTGGGGTCCGGGGCTGGCTGGCTGGCTGGCCGTCAGAGGCACGCCCCTTCCCGGCTGCCTGCCTCCAAGCCCTCGCTGGCTGGAGATGGCTGTGCTCCCTCGCTCTCGCCCCCCCCCGTGAGCTTCCGAAGCCACCGCCGCTCAGCTGGGCGAAAATGCCGGCAGTGGTTTAATGTGTTCCTATGGGGTTTTTTGCCCCATATAGGGATGAATCCGGATAGCGACGATTTATCCGGAACGGATTATCGTCGCTATGCGGGGCACCACTGTACTAAATAGGATCAAATACCACATCATACCATACCATACCATACTATAAGTAATATTAAAACACATTCAAAGCAGTAAGCACAACAATTCATTTAAAAATCCCACTCAGGCAACCAGTCACTCAGGGAAAGCTGGTTTTATCATTATGTATGCCATTCCCCCCCCCCAACAGGATGTCTTCCATAAAGTTTTTCTAAAAGCAGTTCTTGTTTGCTGGGGGGGAAATGGGTAATGGCATTCTTTAACTAAAATCTAAATTGAGAGTTGTTGCGCATGGACCATCGTAGGTGTTAATGTGAATATTTTTGGCTGTTGGGTTTTTTTTTAGGAGTCTTGACCAACCCTGCGACCCAACTGACTGCGGCGCCCCCTTTGTTAACGCCTGTCTCTGGAAGTGCTTCCTCCATTACTTTCCCAGAAGAACATGAAGATCCCCGGGTTGTTGGTATGCCCAGTGAAGTACCTGTTGGAGGTGGACTGTGGGGCTTTATCAAAGTAAGAAGGGGTCCTTTTCTGGTGAGGGTTTCAGCAGAAATGGTTCTCCTGCAACAGCTCTAAAAGCAGCCAGGCAGGTTCTGAGAGGAGATGATTAGAACATGACAGCAGAATAGATCAGCCCCACTGAGCAGTTGCAGCTTGCCCTCTGTTGCTCACTGGCAGTCCAAAGACTGAAGCTCAGCAAACTTGAGGATACAGTGGTGCCTCGCTTAATGATTTCCCCGCATTACGATCAAATCGCTGTACGACAGTCTTTTGCGATCGCAATTGGAAAATGATGGTCTAAATGGGGGAATTTCGCTTAGCGATGATCAGTTCCCTGCTTCGCGAACCGATTTTCGCTTTACGACGATCAAAAACAGCTGATTGTCGGGTGTTCAAAATGGCCGCCAGGTGCTTAAAATGGCTCCCCACTGTGTTTAGGGACGGATTCCTCACTATACAGGCAGCGAAAATGGCCGTCGTATGAAGGATCTTCGCTGGACAGTGAGTTTTTACCCCATTGGAACGCATTGAACGGGTTTCAATGGGGTTTTAAATTTTGTTTTACAATGTTTTCGCTTAATGGCGATTTTCCTGGAATGGATTATCGTCGTTAAGCGAGGCACCACTGTACACTTCAGTAAGGTAGTGCACCTCTGGGTCGGAAGGTCAGAGTGTTGTAATTTTATGATTAACAGAGACATCCCTGAGGAGAGAAAGAATAGATTTGCCCAGAAATAGGACATTGATAGCTATTTTAGTTGTAAGGAAAAGCATTTGAGAGTGCTTGCTCTGAATGGGCAATTAGGATCCAGTAGCTTTACAAAAGACTGGCTCTTTGCGGAGATGAAAATAGCTGCAACTAGATTTGGTGTTATGGATCAAAGCAGCTGCCTTCTTTTTTTGTCTGTGCCTGAAGGCACAGCTATTGGAGCTGTCAGGATGAGTGTGTGCACTTCAAAATCATCTACAACCAATTATCTGTGTTTGCCATTTCACCATGGTGGTACTTTATTTGGCCTCGGTTGCATCTTTTCTTAAATTTAGAGAATTGTGGTAGAATTCATATCCCATTTTCTTGCTTGTTGGCATAACACAAAGCCTGAATTCCTTAGAACCTTAGTTTAGCAAGAACAAGCAATCTGTCCTGTTGATGCCCTTCTTGCTAGTTAAACTACCCCCGGCCTTGCTAAGTCATGAAATATTAGCATTCTGTCCAAACAGAATGCTGTCCTGTTTTAACCTTCCTCTTAGTGAACTAATGTCTGAAACTGGTTTCCAGGTCCAGTTTTCTTAGAGAAGCAACAAGCCAGGGGCTGTGTGTTTGGACGTAACACAGAGCTTTCCCACTTGGTAGGGTCCTAGTTAGTGTTCCTGCCTCTACCTGCAGAAGCAAAAGAGGACTCATTGAGCAACATGTGTTATGCTGATAAACTGGGATCCTCAGCCATTCTGGTATAGTGGCTTGTGCCAGTGAGGTTAATTTAAAAACAGCTAGAAGGGTGACCAGCCCTTACCTGGTTAATCACCTTTAAATTGCCTTTCACTGGGCTTGCCTTAAGCCCAAATTATAAGAGCGAAAGTGGTTTTTAAACTCATACATAAAAAGTTCTTTATTGATTGGCATGTATAGTACATGATCACTTTCCCATGCCAGATCTTGCTTCCCCTGATACAAAGTAATTACAGTGGTGCCTCGCTTAGCGATGTTAATCCGTTCCGGAAAAATGTTGCTAAGCGATTTCATCGCTAAGTGAAATTAAAAAGCCCATAGAAACGCATTAAAACGCGATTAATGCGTTCCTATGGGCTAAAAACTCACCTTTAAGCGGAGATCCTCCATAGGGCGGCCATTTTCGGTGCCTCTAAAGCGAGGAAAAACAGCGGGCAGCCATTTTGTTTTCCTGGTGGCCATTTTGAAACCGCCGATCAGTTGTTTAAAAAGGGTCGCTTTGCGATGATCGCTTCCCTGCAATATTGCAAAGCGAAAAAACCCCATAGGGACTTTCGCAAAGCGATCGCTTTTGCTACCGCAAAAACTCCATCACTAAGCGATTTCGTCGCTCAACGGAGCGCTAGCTAAGCGAGGCACCACTGTATTTTATACAGCCCACTCTGAAACCCAGCCTCTTTTCCTTAGGTACAATTTATCTCTCTCTCTCTCTCTCTCTCTCTCTCTCTCTCTCTCTGTCCTCTTCAGCTCTTTTTATATCTCCTGCTGGCTCCTTTGGATTGGCTCGCCTTCTGACTTCTTTCAGCCAATCTCTTTTTTTCTGTTGCTGCTGCATAAAATGGATGAGGGTTCCATCACAGCTATGTATTCTCATGTTATTCAGCTATCTAGATCAGTGGTTCTTAACATTGGGTTACTCAGGTGTTTTTGAACTGCAACTCCCAGAAACCCCAGCCAGCACAGCTGGTGCTGAAGACTTCTGGGAATTGCAGTCCAAAAACACTTGAGTAACCCAAGGTTAAGAACCACTGATCTAGATCACAATACAGTGGTGCCTCGCATAGCGAGGTTAATCTGTTCCGGATTAACCTTCGCTATAGCGAAACATCGCTAAACGGAATTTAAAAAGCCATAGAAACGCATTGAACTTCGTTCAATGCAGTCCTATGGCTTTAAAACTCACCGTTAAGCGATGTTCTTCCATAGCGCCGCCATTTTCGCGCCCTCGGTAAGCGAGGGCAGGGCGCGAAAATGCAGCGCGGACCTTCCGGCGGCCATTTTGGAACCGCCGATCAGCTGTTCTCCCCCGCTTTGTGATGTGATATTCGCTAAGCGAATGCTCCAGCGATGGCCCAGAGCCCCTCGTTAAGCAATTTCATCGCTCAGCGGGGTGCTCGTTAAGCGAGGCACCACTGTATAGACAGCATGCACAGCTTCAGGGCCCTGATGTTCCCCCAGCATATTCATATCCACCACATAAGGGGGGGGAGGCCTCAGAATGCCCCCCTGTGCTTTCATGTGGTTGTGGGAGGCCAGTTTTGCCATATTTTGAGGGTCTTCCACCATGATTTTGGATCTATACACGCTTTTTAAAAAAAAAACTTGAAACTTGGCCAGTAAAAAGTGCAGGCAGCTGAAAACCGAAACAGGAAAGTATCCGTTTTGTAAGTAAAAAATGGAGGCAGATAGGGACTGCAGGCGTAAGTACAGTCCTTCAAGATCCAGGGATGGGAGGGTGCACCGACCTCAGTGCAGATCAATTCATTTGTAATCCCTTTACTCTCTGAATGCATACATTCCCCATTTTCACCCCTTTGCTTCTTTGAGATGAGAGTGAGGTTAAGTGTTGATGCTATTTCTAAAACCTGGCACCAGCACCCAGGGTGAGTTGGGTCTTATTCTAAAGCAGTAATGCCGAAAGAAAGTGCTCTTAGAGGGGAGTTCTTCATATTTAACAAATTATCCTGTACCTTTTGCTCGGCTTGATTGCTCTCAGTGTAATTATTCCTGATTATTAGAGGGGGAAGGACTGGGCACAGTTGTATGGTGACAAGAATGTCTGAATATATAGTAGGGGTGGGTAGGGAAAGTGTTCGTAAATGCACATATCAGTGATATATTTGCATTTTGTGTTGCAGGGAGTGGCCGGGAATCCTATGGTGAAGTCAGTACTTGATAAAACCAAACACTCAGTGGAGACGATGATCACAACTCTGGACCCTGGCATGGCTCCATATATCAGTAAGTAGTATTTGTAAATCTAGGCTTACCGTTCCCCAAATTTCCTCCTGTCCCAGGATTATTTTGAACTGGTTGTTGTGGGTTTTTCAGGCTCTTTGGCCATGTTCTGAAGGTTGTTCTTCCTAACGTTTCGCCAGTCTCTGTGGCCAGCATCTTCAGAGGACCAAAGCACAGAGTGTTGTCCTCTGAAGATGCCGGCCACAGAGACTGGTGAAACGTTAGGAAGAACAACCTTCAGAACACGGCCAAAGAGCCCGAAAAACCCACAACAACCGAAGATCCCGGCCGTGAAAGCCTTCGCAAACACATTATTTTGAACTGTTAAGCCCCATCCTGCCCAGCCAACATGGGTACTGACAAAGTCGGTGTCTTTTGATAGGGGTTGTAATTTTAAGTGCTGGAATTGCAGTGTTGTTACTGGGAGAAGTTTTTGCCTTTATATCAGTCCAGACAGCACCATCGCTACTTCTGGAGTTCACGTGGAAGATTGAATTCCACAGGAAAGTTGTAACTGCAGATAATCTGATAGTAACATTCTTCAGATACAACAGACCCTTGACTTAGTTTGCCGTTTCCACCCCCTGCTCCTATGACCATTCGCTGTTATCCAAGGCCCACTCACTAGCATCCAGATCTCAGTTTTATGCTGTTTCTGACTGGTACACTGATACTAGCAAGTGTGAGAACAGAGGGAACAAGAGGAGGATGGAGATAATGAAATAACAAAGAAGGAGCAAGCAGGACAGCGTAGAACTGTCAGAGGAAAGGAGAAGAAAACCAGGGGAAGAAAAGGATGGCCGTGGGAGGTAGATCAGAAAGAACAAACAAGATAGCAGATAAGGCTTGAGAATAATCCTAGAACAAAGTATTATGACATTGACTCAGCTCACTTTACAAGTGTAGTTGGAGAATCAGTTAAATTCAGGGATTACATTATACAGTGGTGCCTCGCATAACAGGTGCCCCGTTTAACGACGAATCCGCATAGCGATGAAGAATTTGTGATCGCTTTTGTGATCGCATAACGATGTTTCCTATGGGGGGAAATCGCTTTAAGATGATTGGTACCCTGTTTCGCTTACCGATCATCACATAGCGATGATTTTTCCCCAGCTGATCGGCGGTTCCAAAATGGCCACCGGGTAAAACAGGGATGGATTCCTTGCTTACCGGGCAGCTAAAATGGCTGCCGTGTGGAGGATTTTCGCTTAAAAGGTAAGTTTTAAGCCCATAGGAACGCATTGAAGGGGTTTCAGTGCATTCCTATGGGCTTTTTAATTCCGCATAGTGCGAAATCGCTTTGCAGCGATTTTTGCTGCATGGATTATGCAGGGCACCACTGTAGTCCTAACAACATGACATACTAATACAGCTACTGCAAGTCATGGTGCCTTTCCTTGGGAATTGTTTTTGCCAAGAGAATGACAGGGATGCCAGTTCTGCACCTACGTAGTACCTTCTCCTTTTCAGGATCTGGGGGAGAGTTAGACATCATTGTCACCTCAACAAAAGAGGTCAAGGTGGCTGCCGTGAGAGATGCTTTCCAAGAAGTTTTCGGAATGGCCACAGTGACAGGAGAAGCTGGACAGTCCAACATAGCACCACAGCCTGTCGGCTATGCAGCAGGATTGAAAGTGAGTGTCTTTTGTTCTGAAAGATTTGAAGAGAGCTTGGAAGAGTTATATTTTTGAACAGAAATTGCCAGCATTCACAAGCTAGCATTTCTCCTCTGTTCTGGAAGTTGTGGCCCCAGAATTTTAACTTTTCCAAGGTTCGAGTTGACAGAGAGAGGAGTTGTCTCAAAGGACTTTGAGCGCATTGTGGCATTTTAAAAGCCATCTCAAAAGCATTTCACAGCTGAGTTCTATTGAGCAATCACGTCCAATAGAAAGGTTTTGCTAAAATTAAACTAAAACAACATCAGAAGTAACCCTTTTTATAAAAGAGCAGTGTTTGAACTTTTTGATTTGAAGAAATATTGAAAGCTACTTAAGGATAGATACATCATAAGACTTGTACAAATTTTAATCATTTTGCACATTTCTGCTTGTAAGTTTTCTCCAAAGGCTAATGGAAATACTTTTTTTTCCTAGTTGTAAAAGGTTATTTCCTCGAGGCATGCAGTTTTTCCATTGCACTGTGTCTGAGAATACTGGACCTGCAAACAAAATTGTGGTACGATATACTGCACTTGAGCAGTACAAAACTGGTCAAGTGCAGTATAGCGACTAAACGACTAAGCAAAAAAAAAAAAAATACTGCACTTGAGCAGTACAAAACAAAAGCAACTCTCATTTGCCAAATGACATCTGAAGGAAGCAGTATCAGAATAAAAGAAATTATGTGCTGCCGAGTCAATTCTGACTTATGGTAACCATTTTCAAGGTTTTCCAGAAGGAGAATACTCAGAAGTCGTTTACCATTCCCAAATTCTGGGGGCATACTGGGACTGTGCAGCTTGCCCAAAGCCACAGGGGCTGGCTTTACTCACAGGAGGCATGTTGGGGAATTGAACTCCCAGCTCCTGGCTCCACAGCCAGAGCCCTAAACCACTGAACTGTCCTGCCCATGTGTCAGAATAACAGGCACTTTTTAATAGAATTGAAGGTGTTTTAATTGAAAGCAGCCAGAGTTTCCAAGGTTGCCACCCCTTGATTTAGCACTTCTGCTTGACACTTTTCCTACTGACTTCTTTTGCTTTTATTTAGGGAGCACAGGAAAGGATTGACAGTTTGCGCAGGACAGGGCTAATACATGAGAAGCAACCTGCTGTGTCAATTGAGAATTTCATCGCTGAGTTGCTTCCTGACAGGTAAGATGCCTCCATGTTTTGTTCAGAATAAAAGTATCCTCTGTATTGGATCCCAAGGGTCAGCTGCAGAGCTGATACTGCATGCTGGAGATGGCAGGGAATTTTGTTTTATTTTTCCTACTGCATTTCTTTGGTGATTTTTGCTTTGGTCACAACTGACCCTTGCACTCAAAAGTCTCAACTGAGCGCTAAAAGCGTGACTCAGTTTGCATAGCCTTATTCGGTCCATAATTATGACATAATACATCCGGAGTGTGACAAAATACTTATTTGGAGAGATACTTATTTATCTATCTATTGATTTTTGGCAGAATTTCCATGTAAACTTCTGAAAACTGCCAAAATCAAGGTACGAAAATAACCCCCAATAATTACATTGAAGCCCGAGAAAAACAAAATTAAAACTGTTAAAATTTGAAAACTAAGGTTAAAGAAATGTGGTCTGGACCTCTTTCCTGAGCACAAAGAATGTGAGGATTAGCTGTAGTTCTAAAGGGATGACATTTCAGAATTGGAGGAAAACTTCCCTTTTTTGTCTGTTACTGTCACATGCTCATTTTAATAACAGGGGAAGTTTATTGTAGGACAGATAGCCTAGATCAGTTATTTATTTAATGTGCAGATTTGCCGGGAAGCTGTCGTCAAAAAGGCCTTCTTCTCATGTCTTCACCAAACAGGATGGTGGGACAACAGGAAAGGTTTCTTCTTAAGAACATATCACTTCATCAGCATCACGTGGAAAGGTTAAACCAACAACTCAGGGAATTGAAGCTGGAAAACAATTGGCAACAAGGACAGACCTTTCATGTGATCACGCAGGTCACATTTGTGGCCCAGTTTGCACTTTGTGATTTGAGTCCTGAGTTCACTTATATAAAAGAAGAAATATGAATTTAGCAGAACACTGTGTCAGTTAGCAACAATTGAAGAGAAATGGAAAGCTTTTGTCTCCCTTCCCTTTCAAAGGCGAGTAGAAAGGAAGCTTGCAAATTCACCAGAAGATCAGCTAGCCAGCCACCTTGTTCAGTCGCAGCTATCACAAATGCTGAAGCGGAACCAAAATGGAGTGTTCCGAGATTAGGCATCCTTCAGTCTCGAGAGACTATGGTAACGTGTTCTGTATGGAGGACTTGGAACAGCATCTAGTGTGGCTGAGGAGGCCAATTCGAGAGTGACAATTCCTTCCACGCTGAAGAAAAATACAATCTGTCCCCTGTCCACCTTCCCAATTTTGTTGCTTTCAAGACTGCCTCTTTGCCTCGGCCTGCTGGACAAGGGGCTCTTCAAATTGGGAGAGTTCGTGATGCACCGCCTGCCTCCAGGCTGAACGCTCTGATGTCAGGGTTTCCCATCTGTTAAGGTCCATTCCTTAGGCGTTCAGATCCCGCTAGCAGATGTCCTTGTATCGCAGCTGGGGTCTCCGTCTGGGGCGATTTCCCTGCACTAATTCTCCATACAGGAGACCTTTTGGAATCCGACCATCAGCCATTCTCACAACATGCCGGAGGCAACATAGACATCGCTGTTTCAGTAATGTATTCATGCTATAAATTCCAGTGTAGAATAGTGTTCCTATCCACATTTTTAAAAGTGCAGAAAACAAACAGTAGCCCCTGATAGAGACCTCAAAAAAGTGTAGGTAAGCACCAATCAGGTGCAGAGTGGTTTGTGATGGCACATGTGTCATATGATTGCTGGGGAAAGGAGCAAACCAGACTGTTCTCAACCTGTAGCCAAGTGCCAATTTGATCATACTTGTAAGTGAGCCAAAAGCAAATCATAGTTTAAATTGTTTACAGTGGGGTCTTGACCTGAGAACTTAATCCGTATTGGAAGGCGGTTCTCAAGTCAAAATGTTCCCAAGTCAAATCTGCATTTCCCATAGGAATGCATTGAAAACCATTTGATCCGTATCTGCTCTTTTCCGTCCATAGAAACTAATGGGAAGCTGCTATTCTGCCTTCGACCACTAGAGGGGGATATTTTGTTTCTTTTTTTCTTAGGTCAAGAAAGGTTCAGGGAAGGCCAAATCATAGTTTAAATTGTTTAAATTAATCATAATTAATCACCACTCAGATGATAGTGGAAATTTGAGAAAACCTACAAAGGGTTCCATACACCTCCACTTAGCCATGCAGGAGGAGACCACAGATGGAATGTTCTGGAGCACATTGGGCTAAACCTTGACATAGTGAGATCCATCTGTCAAACTGATGTGTTTTTTTCAGAGGTTTTTTTTTTTTTACAGGTGCAAAAACTGAGTTTTTCTAGCATAAATCTGAAACTTGTTTCAGAAAGATTGGCTTATGGAAGTTTTTTTACTTGCCTTTCAGCACTTTCCATTGTCACATAATCCAGCTAATGAAATGGTTCCCAGCTTTGGGTAGCCCACCTGTTCTTGGATTGCACTTCCCAGAAATACTGGCCTGCAAAACTGGTGATGAAGGCTTCGGGGAATTGCAGAACACCTGAATTACCCAAGGTTGGGAACCACTGTACTCTAGTGAATACCTAGACTTCAGTGAGATTTGTTTAAAGTGCCCCTCTTTCTTTTTTAAAAAGCATTTTTATTACTTTTATCAACTACAAACAAATATGCAATATAAAATAAAATAGAAAAAAAGAAATGAGAACAAAAAGAAGGGGGGAAAAAACCCCAAACCCTCCCCCCCTTTGAGGACAGAGATTCAGACCTCATTGCATCCCAAATTTCCCGAGTTTCCAGAGAGCACTGAAAGCGAAAGAGGAAAAACAAAGCCCATCAATCATTTTGCCCTATCTTCAGATCTGTCCCTGGGCCCAAACATATATTAAGTTCCAACTTTGTTTTGCATAGTCTCTTGGTTGTTTTCATAGTTCTTCTGAAAGTGTATCTAATTCTGCAATGCCCTAAAGGGCCCCCTCCTTCTGTTGTTCCAGGTGGTTTGACATCGGCTGCTTAATTGTAGAGGATCCTATCCATGGCATTCACTTAGAAGCATTTACGCAAGCTACACCGGTGCCCCTGGAATATGTACAACAGGTGAGTTTTGCCTTCCGGCAGTTGGGTGCTCAAAGACAGGGTTTTTCATAGGCTCCTTCCACTGGCATTTTTTACTATCCTATATTGTTCGACTTCTCTCCGCTGGCTCCCTTAATTAACGCTGATGGAAGTTGTAGCACAGCAGTAACCGGAGGGGCACAGGTTCCCCATCCATCCCATAGCATTTTCCAAAGAAATAGCTGTGTTAGTCTGTCTCGTGTTGGTAAAAGGAGGAAACAAAGGAAAAGAAAAGGCAAAATATTGTAGACCTTTAAAGGCGATTAGATTGATTTCATTGTGAGCTTTTCTGGATCAAAATGCACTTTTTTTGTGGATTGTGAATTCCTGTGTCTGAAGAAGTGGATTCTTTGTGGTCTCTGTGAATGGACACTAATGGGTTTCCGTGTGCTTGCGCAGAGAACCTCGGAATCTTCTAGAGCTTCTTAAACTCATGTTGTCAGCACCTCCCTCACATTGCGCTTGGCCCTGCCCACGGCACCGGAGTGCCTCAGTTCCTTTTTTTGCCAACATTGCAGCAGCACCTCGACTTAGGAGCTTTGATTTCTTTCGGAAATTACTTACCTTCATTGGACTTCCTGATTGGGACCTTCCTGATCAGGACCTTCCTTGATTCATCCTTTGTGAGTAAAAAAACAAACACAGAATGGAGAGTTGGGAAATTTCGATACCGGAAGAGACCCCCACCACCAGATCAGGAGGTTGTTCATACTCAGGCAAAACGTCCACATCAAGTGACATTGATACTGATCCGACCAGCCCGAACCCATATGTTATCACAGGTTCAGTCCTCAGCTGTACAAATTACAGTGGTGCCACACATAGCGACGATAATCCATGCAGCCAAAATCATCGCTATACGGATTAGTCACTATGCGAAATAAAAAAGCCCATAGGAATGCATTAAAACCCATTCAATGCGTTCCTATGGGCAAAAAGCTCACCTTTAAGCGAAAATCCTCCATACGGCCGACATTTTCGCTGCCTGGTAAGTAGGGAATGGGCGTGAAAACATAGCGGGCAGCCATTTTTTTAACCCGGCGGCCATTTTGGACCCGCCGATCAGCTGTTGGAAAAACATCCCTATGTGAAAATCGGTAAGCGAAACAGCTTACCATTGCAAAGCGATTTTTCCATCTAAATCATTGCAATGTGATTGCTTTTGCGATCGCAAAAACTTAATCGCTATGCGGATTCGTCGTTAAACGGGGCACCACTGTACATACCAGTCACCACTGGAACCAATTCCCCAGCACAAATCTAAGAAAACAAAAGGAAAGAACATTCACTGGCACATGTAGAACCACCTGATCGACCTTCAGTTTTGACAGGAGCTGTCACCAGACCAGATTCCGATCTCCTTTGACACCAACACCGGCCACTCTGATGTTGAACCCGTGGGAAACTCTCCTTTCAAACATTCCCACTCCACACTCTGACATTGCGGAGAACCACTGTCCATCACCTTCAGAGGACTTTACATCCTATTCACAGCTAATACAGTCCTCTGAATTCCAAAAGTACAGTAATGGATCTGGCAGTTGACCAGTTGGTGTCGGAAGAGATGGGGAAGGTCTATGAAGACATCAACCAGGATCAGAATCCACCGCTTTGCTTGGGCTTTATTTCATCTCTCCTTAAACTTATTGAGTCCTGGATCTTCCACCCCACAGATCCCCAGGAGGGTCAAAAATTTATACAATACTCACGGCAACAACACTACTTTCCTCTCTAAGCATCCACTGCCTAACTCTTCTATAGCGGATGCTACCCAGAGCCCGGTTCTACTCACTTGCTTCTTTTATTCTGAGAGTAGCTAATTACATTGCTGCCATGGGTGCATACCAGAGTTACCTGTGGAATAAGGCACTGCCTGCTCTTCAAGCAGCCCCAGAACTATGGGCCTGTGGCCTCTATTGTCATCAGGAGGCCATGGCTTTTGCATGTCAAGAGAGGATTACAGCACGCCATGTGGCGGATGCTTCTTCTAAGCAGATGGCTACAGACGTTACATTGCGTCACTATGCATGGCTTAGATCTGCTGCTCTCGATCCAGAATCATTTTATCTTTGGACGCTCTCGGGCTCTTTGACGAGAAGACCAGTGAGGTTCTGGATGACCTGTTGAAGTTATGAAAGACCATATAGCTTACAACAACAACACTGGTCACGTAACACCTGGCACCTATACCTTCCAGCAGTATAGACCTCAGCTGGACCGCCAACGACCTCAAGCGTCCAACATGCCCTCTGTCTCCTTCTGTCAGCACACCATGAGGCAGCGCCCACGACAGTCCATCTACCAACGTGACAAGAAAGCAAGACAGAATCTTTGACTTTGTCCACACATCAATACCATACAATTACATGACTCGGCTAGCCCCATTTTTCTGTACCTGGCAACACATTACCTCAGACGCCTGGCTCTTTCCCATCATTGCCAAGGGCTGTGTCATAGAATTCGACACCATCCCACCAACTGGGATCTTCAAAACTACGAGTCCCTCTCCCACATTGGAGGAGGAGACATGCTCCCTACTACAGGAAGATGCCATCTCAAGAGTACATCACGCAGACGTTGCCCTCGGGTTCTGTTCCCGATACTTTGCAGTCCCTTTGAAGACTGTCTTCCTTGTTGCGATCACCTCAGCTCGTAGAGCCAGTGAACTTTCTGCTCTTCATGTTGATCCACCTTTTCTCCCGTTTCATCCTGACCTCACATTCCTACCTTAAGGTGGTTTCTAATTTTCACCAGAAGCAGCCAATTGTCTTGCCTACGTTCTTCCCTTCACCTACGTTTGAACTGGAATACTCCTTGCATTCGTTAGATGTCAGATGTGCCCTGGCTTATTTTGTTTCACATTCCTCCTCTTTTTGTAAAGTCCAAACAGCTTTTCATCAGCTGTCACGGTCAATCCAGAGGTTCCTCAGTCACCTCTCAGACGATCTCCAAATGGATTGTATCCACGATTCGTCTGGCGTACACACTTGGCCGAACACCCTTACCACATTCTGTAAGGGCTCACTCAACCAGAGCCATGGCAACATCTACGGCATTTCTCAGAGGTGTTGATCTGACTGACATTTGCAAAGGCACCACTTGGGCTATGCCATCTACTTTTGCAACCCACTATCCGCTGGATGTCTGTGCCCAGGCTGATGCCTCTTTTGGGCGCACTGTCCTAGCTTCTGCTTTATCGTGACGTCTCACCTCCCGGTAAGTCAGCTTGCTAGTCCCCTATTAGTGTGCATTCACAGAAAAAGAAAGAGAGGTTACTTACCTGTAACTCTGGTTCTTCGAGTGGTCATCTGTAAATGTACACTTCCTGCCCATCCTCCCCTCTGTCCGTCACATACGCTTCTTGCGTACTGGGTGGTGGTGGGCTGTTCTTCGGAACTGAGGCACTCAGCGTGCAGTGGGTGGGGCCAGGTGCGATGTGAGGGAGGTCCTAACAGCTATTTAAGTTCTAGAAGATTCCAAGGGTCTCTGCACACGCGCACTAAAACCCATTAGTGTGAATTCACAGATGACCACTTGAAGAACCAGAGTTACAGGTAAGTAACCTCTCTTTTCAATACATAAAAGCTCACATTGAAATAAATCTGTTACCCTTTAAAGCATGCAATATTTTGGGGAGCCCCCCTTTTATTTTTCCCAGTGCCCATTCCACAGAAACCTGAGTGTTGTTGAATATTAATAATTTTGGCTGCAGAGTCAAATGCACACAAATTTGTTTCAGATCAGCAGTCCATAGCCCAAGCATTCATTACAGGTGTTGCCAAGGAAGAACTAATGGTCAGGCTCATTTTTACCATCTACGTTTTCTCCACCTATGCATTCAAACATCTTTTTATGAATTCTTTCACAGGCTCAAAGTCTGACTCCTCAAGATTACAACCTCAGATGGTCGGGTTTGCTGGTGACGGTTGGTGAAGTGATAGAGAAGAATTTGCCGCATGTCAGCCGAACAGATTGGCATGTGGCATTCACAGGCATGTCTCGCCGGCAGATGATCTTCAGTGCCGCCAAAGCCATTGCAGGAATGTACAAGCAACATTTACCTCCAAGGACCACTTAAGAAGATACTGGCACTTAACCCCTAAGGGGACTCATTTTTTAAAGACCGAGGTTGAAAGGAAACAATAGCTATCTTCAGCTCTTTCACTGAAGATGCGCCTCATTCTTTGTAACTTACCTATAAACTGTAGTTTTGTTAGTTTTGAAAAGTGAAGGTATTCTTAGGGTAATGGAAATTAAATTCTTAATGCATCCATGTAGCCAAATAACTTTAAGGGTTATAAGAAGAATCCATGGCCATATTTATAGCAGGACAGAAAGCATCAACATATCTTTGGAGTGCTGTTTTCATGTCCAGATCGCTGTGGAGTCACCTAATTTGATTTCATGGGTGCACCAGTGTGCAATTCTTGCTTGGAGTAATTCTTTCTCATAAGAGCTAAGTTAAGAAAACAATGTCAGAATAGGCGAATAGCTGCATATTCACAGGCCTGCAAGGTGAGATGTGTGCAGCTGTAAATGGACCTGGCTGGCTTTCTAAAGTAAGAGCTGCTTTTTAAAGTTATTTTTTGCAGGCACCCACCTTAATGACAGTAGATAAAAATGCCTACAGATATAAATTAAAACAGTCTTACAACTATCTTACTTTATAACTGAGAAAATTCCTGGAAAGCTTTCTAGTTTTGCAGTACAATTGCAGACACACATCTGCACACCATCGAAAACATATAAAGTTTACACTAAATAGTATATATACTAAATGGTTCAAAAGGAAGGGCTAAAAGGCAGAATTAAAACGGGGAAATCTACATCTCTGAATTCCAAGCATAAGGAGGAATACCCATCTGTTTTTCTGGAACATCATTGGAGGGTACTTTCTGCAGGACCTGGTAGGAAACCAGTATGATTTAGATCACTGGTTCTTAACCTTTGTTAGTCAGAGGTTTTTGGACTGCAACTCCCAGAAGTCTTCACCATCAGCTCTGCTGGCTGGGGTTTCTGTGAGTTGCAGTTCAAAAACACCTGAGTAACAAAGGTTAAGAACCATTGATTTAGATTATGCAAGTCTGTACATGAAAACACGCAGTGGTGTAGTAGGATAAGCAACTGGATTTTTATCTAATAAAAAGAGTAGGCCACACGATGCCACCTGGCCATTTTGCTGAGGCCTTCTGCAGGATCATCACTACTGCCAGACATACCCTACTTCCGCTGTAAAAAAATATACCATGCAGGGAGATGGTGCCTTCTTTTCCAGCAGACTTACCTTACTCTGCAGGCTGCCTGCAGACTGAATGGACTTCTGCCAGCTTCTCTGGGGATTATAGGAGTTAAAAGTTCAGCCAAATCTATGTGTACTACCAAATACTCCATTTTAAGGACTTCCCCCTTACCTTGTTCCCAGACAGTCTCTCTCTTCATATTTATAAATGCAAAGTGTATTTTGATAAAATTTACAGGGAGGAAAGCCCATCTCTCTCTCTCTCTCTTTCTCTGCCTTACATGCAAATATCTCAATTCATATTATTCAGTCTTTTGTAAATGATTTCAGTAGACACTTCAGTGGAAATTACCTGGCTAGCCAGTTGCTTATGTTTCTGTCTAGTGAAAAATATGTACTTTCTCCAAATAATATATTTTGCCATTCTTGGCTTATCTTGTATATTGGCATTAAATGGATACATCTTCTCTTAGAACTGTAAGCTTTTTTTCCTCCCTTGAACATGTATAAGATTGAAATAATGAAACGTGCCCAGCAGAATCCAGTTGGTTGTAGATTTTAAAGTGCTAATCCTCTGATCAAAAGTAGTCTTGATGGGACTACGTTTGATCAGAGGCACCTCCTGCAGGAGCCACACTATATCTTCAGTTGAGTGGGTTGGAAGAGTCCTTGAGCCTGTCATATCCAAACCCTCTTTCTTCCATTGCCATGTGTCTGCCCTCTCCAAAGGTCGAAAAGTATGCCTCCTATAAGGGATTGTTTTTAAATACGCTGCTTTCCAGAAGGATTCATCTGTAAACCTCTGGGCAGTGCTCCCTTTCTGTTATCACGGGAGGGGAAAGGATGGCAGTGAACCCTGTTTTGTTTATTGTCTGCTGCATGTTCGGGGGGTACTTTGGGGAAAGGCAGATGGAGAAGAAATTCATCTTTCCTAGTGAATATAGACACAAACTAAAGAAATCCATTATTCTGCCCTCTATGCCCAGTTTCCCCCAAGAAAATTATATACGAGGAGGCCTCTATAAAAGCATATGATTTATCAGTGTATAAGCCAGGTAGGGGCCCTGCTAAATTGGACTGCAATTCCCATCGTATCTTCCTTATTGACCAAGCTATCTGTGGCTGAAATCAGGCTGGGCCTGGCCTATTCTTAAGACTTGATGATTAACACAACCCCTTAATTGATTTAATCCATTGCAATGGTAGCCTCCCATATCTGTGAAACTGGTTTTTTGTTTAAGCATTTGACCATGCAATTTCCCACAAGTGATTGCATGGCAATTTCTGTGTAACTGAAACTCGCTCGGGTGGCTAGTCACTCAGGGAAAGCTTGTCTGCTTGCAGGACAGCTAAAATGATGCAGCCTCACCTAATTTTTTTTAATCACTAGAGATATGTTGTTTCTGACAAATTCCCACTTTTAAAATTAAAAAGCCATGTTTATTAAATGTATTGTCATTGTAAGTACGGTATATACATAGTATACACATACAACGAAATTCACATCCAGAGACCCAGAGACCAGACCCACATGCACACACATAAAAAATTCCCAAACACTCCCCACCCACTAAAAAAATCCTCACTAAGAACACAAATATCTGCACCGCAGGCTAAGTAGCACTGTCCACCTGTTCACTGCTGATGGCCTTTAAGTTCATTATTAAGTGCAATTATAGCTCTGGGATAAAAACTATTCAGAAAACGTGTGGTCTGAGTATTCATTGCTCTGTATCTTCTGCCAGAAGATAGTTCAAAGAAGTTCAAAGATAGTTCAAAGATAGTTCAACAGTTCAAAGAAGTTGTGAGCAGGATGGGAAAAGTCTGTAAGGATGTGTGACTTCCTCAGACAGAGGGATGTGAAGACGCCATCCAGGGTTGATAGCTGGAGCCCGATGATATTCTGGGCAATTTTAATGGTTCTCTTTTTTGTCCACTACAGAGTTGCTCCCAAACCATATGAGAATGCCATAGGTTAGGACACTCTCAATGGTGCTACGATAGGACAGGAGTAAATGCTGAGATAAATTTAACTTGCCGAGCATTCTCGGGAAATACAGCCTCTTCTGTGCCTTCTTCACTAACATGTTGGCATTTATAGTCCACGAGAGGTCCTCTGAGATGTACGTGCCCAGAAATTTAAAACTACCAACCTTCACTTCCTTGCCATTTATGTACAATGGTAAATGAACATTTCTCTTCCTCCTAAAATCAATGTTTCCACCACAGCAACTTTTACAGCCTGAGACTATTGTTGTTTTTAATAATAACTATATCTCCTCTTCCTACTCACACTGGTATGCAGAGTTCATTGGAGAGAGGGATTGCCACTCTGCATTGCAACAGAAACTCTATTCACTACTTGCTTTGTTAAAACATACTACTTTTAATTGCAACAAGGAGTAATCAATTCCAAACTACTGCTAAGGAGGAGTTTGAAACCATGCTCAACCCCCACCACGCCCAGTCTTGTAGACTTCTCCATCCAAGAAGCTAAGTCTGGCCCAACAGCCATGAGACACCGAGACCTTAATAAAATCATATAATTTTGGAACTTTCCACAAGAACTTTAGGCACTTTGGTAAACCTCATTGCTTTTATGAAGGTAAACCTGATATATAGTGCCATCTTCTCCAAAGAAAAGGACAAGATGTAGAAACAAAACAAAGGTGCTGCTCTGCAGAGATTCTTGAGGGCAGCATTTCTGTGCTAGATTTGAATCTCTATTCACTTTTGTGTACCTTTCTCTTTTAATAGAAAAGATGAGCATGCTATATAGTAGCATATCATCCAGAGAAAGGTAAAAAGTGTCAAAGGAAAACAAAGTTGCTCCTCTACAGAGATCATTGGGGGTTGATTTTCTGGACTACAATTAAATCCCTACCCACTTTACCTTTTTTTTTCATAAACCTTAATCCTTTTATGAAGAAAGAAGTATATGAATGTTTTCTGAAGGAGAAAATTTATAGAAAAAACAAAGTGATCTTTGTAGAGGAGCACCTTTTGCCTCCAGATGTCCTTTACTTTCTAGAATATTCCAATTTATATCATGTTCACTTTTCTTCATAAAGGCAGTGAGGTTTACCAATGTGAGTAAAGTGAGTAGACATTCATATTGTGAACCAGACATAAAGAAATCTGGAAGTGTTAA